ACTGAAAATTAGGTCAAATACACTAAGATGATGTGATTAACATTAAAATTGAACGAATGATCTAATTTATGAGTTGTTGAAGAATCACGATTTGAAATGATTCAAAGTATATGCTTTAAAAGTAATCTGGTCAAACTAATTCTGTTTGATAAACTAACCCGTAACATTGTAATACAAACCTTCAAAATGACGATTAAATTTGTTTGATTATTTTCATAAGTATTCAATATGGACGATAAGAAGTCAAAACAATCGTTTAAAAAGACTAAAATAAGCAATACCATACACCATGTAGTACAAAATACTTATTAAATTTCCAATTACAGATAATAGTTAACAAGCGGTTAGAGAGATAATTATATATATATATATATATATATATATATATATATATATATATATATATATATATATATTTCTTATGAAATATGTAACTAGAACCAATAAAACTTGTCTAGTATATACAATACAACAACCAAATTTGTAATCACTCATTAATAGTTTGGATACCAGAAAAGACAACAGACAGACAGACAGATACAACGCAGAACTTCGTACACAAGTACATCAGTTCAGGTTGCCATACCACGTCAGCACAGAGACGTAACTGTCAGTTCAAATCCAAGAGTGATAGCGATAGTAGAATTATTAGCAGCAATGGAGAAAAGACAATACTGTAATAAAAATACATCACTGTAAAATTTTTTGAAATCTTGTTTGTTTTTTATATTGAATTTGTCGACCTAATGCAATGAATGGTATTTATATATCACTTCGAGCATTGTTGTCACAAGTCAACTGAATTAGCCTCAATCAACACAAGTTTTACGATAGTATTGACCGTTTTTACACATTTGAAATCATCAATCAATCATTGTTAGACCACCATTAGAAACCTGGAAGCAGTGAAAGACGGCCGTTTCGTCCTGGTATGGCACTCATCAGTAGCAATGCGCATCCACGACTCCTGCTCCTTGCAGGATTCGAACACGGGACCTTTGGCATTGTAGGCGAACGCCTTAACATCGGACCACTGGGCCGGCATCCAACGGTGTTAATGTCTAACTCTGATTGATCTAGGGATTTTGTGCGCACTGCTGATGAGTCCTATACCAGGACGAAACGGTCGTCCAGTGTTTCCAGGTTTCTGACGGTGGTCTTACAATGATTGATTGATGATTTCAAATGTGTAAAAACGCAAACCTCCAAAACTGTGCCCCAAAGTATTGACCGTGTAATTCAATTAGAAAAACATCATGATAAGGAAATTGCAAAAGCTCTATGTCTAATACTTTTGCTCATAATTACCATCACGTTTTAGTTACTCAGTGTAGGATGTAAGAAAGGTAGTATCGCATCATTAGTATGCTATCATGCATACTTATTCCATGTAATTGGGATTGAAATCATTTGAAATGAATTGTACACTCTATTCTCAATGGTTTAGGCACTAAACTAAACCTACATGACTGGACTGATTCAAATTATCTTCTGGTAGATTACAGGAAAAAGGCTTATCAATAAAAAGTAACATTTTGTATTGTTGTGAATAAAGCATTTGAATATCTTCAGATTTGCTCAAGGTTTATTGAATGTGTGTTTCAAAGTTCTTAGGTATTTGAACTATTATTTTAAATCAACTGATTAGTTTCAGAAGTAACAATGGAGATTAGAATAGATATGGTTATCGCCTCAAAATGTAAATAATCGATACGTCGATTATTTATTTACGGAAATCACCACAGTCCAGTACTATGTATAACAGATTTATCAGCATTCTTCAGTACTACTACCTATTGTAATCATCAATAATTGTGTGAAGTGTGTACTTATTAACATTTTTATCTCCATCCTGTCAGCTATTTAATTTTACTTTATTCACGTTTGTTACTCCTGATGGAGCATAGGCCGCTAACTAGTATTCTCCTACGGACATTTCTCTTATGTCTCCCTTTTCGGTTTCGTACAGAAGTTGCTCATTCATTTCGTGTCCATTTCAAATTCTCAGCATAATGTTTTCGTTGGTCTTTCTCTTTTCATTGGTCCTTGAGGATTCCAAATGAGGATGCTTTCCTCAATGTTTGTCCTATACACCTCTGGCGCTTCTTCCTGATTTCTTCCGCCAACTAAATCTGGTTTTTTCTCTTCCAAAGTAGGTTGTTATTGATGGTATCTAGTCAACATGATCAAAGAATTTTGGGTGCAAAAATGGTAAGGAATACGTGCATCTTGTAGATGATGGCTTTCGTGGTTCTCCAAGTTTCCGCCACATAAAGTAGGACTGTCTTGACATTTGTATTGATACTGGTTGATAGTTGTTTTAAGTTCCACACGTTCTTCAATTTAAGAAATACTGCTCTTTAGTTTGCCAATTTACACCTTCAGATCTGCATCAGATCCACCTTGCTCATCAGCGATGCCGCCCAGATATCTAAAAATTACTCCATCGTCTCAGGCTTCTCCATCAAGTGTGATTGCATTGCTTCGAAGGATCTTGTTTGCTCTTGTTGTAGTTTACTGCTTCAGAGGCTGCTGTTACACTGGTCACTACCTGCAGCTGTTATTGTGTGTAGGGTAGAAGTGCTAGATCATCTGTAGAATCCTGATTATCCGACTGCCTAAGAGGTGTACACTCTATTCCATGATTTCGCTAACAGTATACATCATCATAATCCAGTTGATAACTAGAATAAATAGAAAAAGTAAGGGTAACCAACCTCGGCTGACACTCGTCGTCACTTGCAACGTTTGTGTGGTCTTTCCTTCATACACAGCTTTGTAGTTAATTCCATTATAAGTTTCTGTATGATGTTAACTCTCTTGTCAAGTACACTGTATTGTGGAAGAATCATCCACCGTGTCATCCTGTCCATGCTATCAAATGCTTTCTCGTAGTCAGGTAAGCTAGCGTAGGGTGGTGACGTCCATTTCGCTGATTGTTCCACAATGATCTATAGCGTCACATTAGTTTTGGATGGTACACGATCAATCCTCAAGGAATCCAACCTGTTGATCTTGAAGTTAGGCGTCCAGTGATTTTTTCTTTCAGTTTAACAACACTCTGTTAAAGAGTTTTCCTGGTATTGCGATTAGAGTGATGCCTCTTTAGTTCTCACACTTGTTGAGATCTCCTTTTTTAGACATCTTCGTGAGGTGTCATTCTTTCCAGGCTGACAGTATTTGCTCTTCCTCATAACTCTTGAAAACAGAGTGTGCTAAATCTTTGTAGTTACTGTTATCTCTGCTTTTAGTGCCTCATCTGGTGAGTTATTTGTTCATTCTGCTTTGTTGCTCTTGATTTGTTTGGTGGTCAAGCCAATTTCTACAATTGTTGATTGGTCAACAATATTATTGTTGGTTCGTGAGTGCTGCCTCGATATTGTGTGAGTTGAGTGGAGTTATTTGATTCAAGAGTTCTTCAAAGTACTCTATCCACCTGTATAGCTGTTATACAATGTCAGTGATTGATTACCTTGTATTGCTTGTTCTTCACTGGTCGTTCTGGTCTACGATATTTACCAGCAAGCATATTCGTAGTTTCACGTCGATTTCGAAGCGCACACAAAGTTCAAAAGTCGCCGTGTAGATTTATACGGGTGTTATTAGAATCGACAAGGAAATTAGATCTTGCATTCATTTAGCAGACTTAACACTTTCTTATCTAAGGATGTGTAAAATTGACACACGTATTATTCAACTAAATGATCCGACGTGTCGAATGATATATAGCCGGTACACGATCAATGGATTACGGTATCCAAAGATTATGACTTTTACTTCAATGTTATTGAGTCAAAATAATTAAAATTGACATTTATCTCAAAATTAATCACGTATCTTCTACGGTGTGTATTTGAATATCAACCTATTATCAGTTCTATTATTATTATTTCTTAATGAACTAATATTTAATAAACACATTCAGCGTGTGTAATCAGCTCATATTTTAGTTTCAGTCACGGTTGCAACTGTCCTACTGAATCTTGATCATATTAATAAGAATTTTAATTGGTTTAAATTCATAATCTGATTGTTTGATAAATAGTATAAAAAGCAAACATTGATGTCATTGTTTGCAAGAGGTAAGAAAACATTGCACTGTAAAGGTAAGTGAATAAATAAAAGTTTCTAAATATTCAATTCGTATACGATCAGTTTTGTTGGAAAATGTTTACTTTTCAACTATGCATTATAGTGGTGATATGAGTATAATTTGTCAGTAGTAATGAAAATAATTGAACAAAACAAAATGTTTTGATTGACAAATCATATAGATTCTTTTGAAAAAAAAATGGTTATCATTATTTAATTTTACGGTGACGAAATGACTTAAAGATTATGAATAAACTACTGATTCTTGTCATTTATTGATTGCCTAATCAAAGTCAGTTTGTGATGTGATTGATAACTGACTTTGGCTAGAAATGTGAAGTGTCAGAGAGTGACTTGATGGTCTTGAGTTTGGGAATTTGGCATGAAACCTGAAGGTGGTTAGTTCGATTATTGCACAGGTGGAAATTCCAGAGTTCCCTAGTTCTCCACAGCTTTCTAGGTGGAGACAGTTTTAGACAATATGCTATAAAGTGAACAATACCTACATATAAATATCCATTGACACGACAACATTCATAAATGTTTATCATCGATGTCCTATAACTGACACTCTTCATCGATCGATCACTCAGAAGGGACCACTGTCATGCTTATCTAATCCTCTTCATGTTCATCAAACTGTATCATTCAAATTGCCATGTGGCAACCAGTTTGAGTCTTAATATTTTATGGGCTATCTGAAAGTTAGGTTGTATAAGTTAGTGTCAATTCACTCAGACTAACGATTTGTTACTCTTTAAACGAATTTCATTTGATGTTTCATTTTACTTACAGATCGATCGATCGTTCCAGTGAATAATAGACTGTCTCACCTCAGAATGACAGGTAGAAGAAATATCCTTCTTATATTTGTATTTACAATTCTCTCACTCTACACTTATAATGCTATGGAGGAAAACTCAACAGAAACAGACGAAACAACATCATCGAGTATCCCTGATAATACTACAATGAATCCTGATTCGAATGAGTTAACATTGTTAACCACAGAACTTGATAGTTCAGCTAATTCAACTGTTACCGCCGCTATGGAGGAAACCTCAACAGAAACAAACGAAACAACAGTATGGAGTATCATTAATAGCACAATCACTTCTAATTACAGTGAGTTAACATTGATAACCACATAACTTGATTGGTTCAGCTAATTCAACTGATACCGATATAGAGGAAAGCTCAACAGAATCAAATGAAACAACAACATCGATTATCAGCGATGTTATAGTGGATTCTAAATTCTTTGGCATACCACAACCAGTCGCGAAAATAAATGGTTCAGCGAATTTAACTCTATTCAACTACACTGATCCTGAAACCAGGGCATTCGGTGGTTGGTATGAAGTATCAGATACAGATCCATCTGAAGGAAGATCAGTAGCTACACTGACACGTTATGAGTTAGATGTAAATCTGTTTGTATATATATATATATAAAATTCAACTAATTTCGTGTTTAGGGTTACCTGTCAGGATTCTTCTTTTATCTAATTGATCTCCACCCATCGGAACACGGTTTCATTGTCATCGAATATGAATTGAACTCTTGGAATTTGTCTGATTATCAAGGTGTTATGATTGATTTGAAAAGATACGGTCCACATACTCATTTCAGATTAATGTTCTACAACAATTGTTCGGACACGTCCTTATGTCATACATATGAATCAACTTTCAAGGTAATGTAATCATTAAGTGTATAAAATAATCTTATGTATTTTCTATTTAATATTTACAGACATCTGGAAACCGAGAACAAGTACAACTACCATTTACTACATTTCATGCATATTACGGTAGTATACCGGAACCTGATTCACCACCTTTAGATATAACGCAACTTTCAGGTTTCGGTATACTAGCATATAATGACGGTGGTATAGAAGTTCAACAAACTGGTCCAGGTGCTGTTGAATTATTTAGTGTTGTAGCATACAAATAGTTACTGATGGACAATTGTTAATTGCCAATAGTCGAAGGTGTAATTGTAAAGACAGTAATTTTCTTTTTTTACTAACAAAAACATTATTAAATTTGAATTGGTTACTTTGTCAGATAACTACTATTGGAACTTCTTAATAATCTATATTCTTATCCAATTTACATTTAGCGTGATTTAATTATTTTGTCAAAAAAATTTTATTTAAAAAATAAAATCGTAAGTAAAATTTCAATGACAACAAATATGTACTATCACTTAGTTAATTGTGCTTTTTGCTTTATCATGTACAATGAATGATTCTTCATTTGTATTATATATATTCAGGTAAACTAATTATTTGTTCAAAAGTTTACATGCATTAACTAACTAACTAACTCTACATTGAATCTAATTAACTAATTAGCTAACTATCAAAATTCTGTTAGATTAGCATTTCACTTGATTGTCAACTAATATCAGTGAATGTTAGTCAGTCGTCAGTCGTCGATGAACAAAGATTATTAAACAGTATGTTTTGCAAGTTAGTTACCTTATCTACACTAAATAAATAAGTAACTAAAGGATATTGGAAGTAAATTATTATTTTCGTAGTTTGAATCACTAACTAATGTTGTTAGCTAAACCACCAACATTAAAAACCCAGCGAACACTGCAAAGCCATTTCGCTCAAATCTAGAATTCCACATATGTACCTACATAGAAAAGATAGCGAATACGAGAAGTTATACGGATGATAATGTTCTGACCAGTGACCATTTTCATTACTGTGACTGAATAGTGCAATTCACTGATGTCGAATATGAAACAGGTATCCATCTCAGTCAATGAATAAGGGTTGCACAATATCTTGATTTGATTTACATTTAGACATCATCACTGATTGATGCTGATCTAGAGATCTAGTGGTTAAGCGTTGATGCTCACAAAAGCGAAGATTTCGCTAGTTACATTATCTAGACTACAAAAATGAATAAAACTTCATACTTCATGCTGATAATAATGTGTGTACCAGCAACTATCTTCATTGTGTAGTTTCCAGAATTCTGGTGAGAAGCTGTGACTAACTGGTGAAATCCAATCATGTCGGATGTGAAACAGGTATCCACCATAGGCGACGGATGCGGTTTGCTCAGTATCTTGATTTGATTGAAGTTAGACATGAATACTGATGGATGCCTATAATAGGTATGCACTGTTGTGTATGTAAGACCAGTCAGTGATTTGAATAATGGAAATTCTAAAATCTTCGAACAAAATTATACTAATTACTACGACGATTAAGTAGTACAATGTAATACATTAAAAGTATGGGTGGAAATCAAATCACAATTCCATTATCTAAAGAAAAGAAGTCACTTCCACATGAACTGTTCACCTCGATCGTTACACAAGTCACATATCTAATATTTAGTTAATTCCGTAAATCCTAACAATTAAATATTCCACTGCAGACTCTATGTTACACTGTTCATCAGAAGATTCAATGTTAGATTGAGAATTCCACAGAATTATGTGTTCTGACTGATCTGACCGTGAAACAATTTCCGTGAAAATAAATTATCTGAACGAAAGCGAAATATCAGTCAACTTGATCAAGGTGCAGTCTTTAAGAACACATTCATGAAGACATCAGTGACCAGCAGTAGTCACTTTATAAAGCTTACTTCCAAATTTAATACGGATGATCTCCTGTCAAACTAGGAAACTTGTAGCATCTAACCATTCATTCATTGTACACCTTCAATCATTAGCCATTTAAATGATTCCGTAACTGTATCGACCATAATTTTGTATTTGTAATAATTCGATGGCAGTATCGATTATTGTATATTTGTGTGTGTGTGTGTGTGAATGCCTACCCATTTATTATGTCTTTAGCCTACTATTGCTTGACTATAAATACTTAGTCAATCACTCTTCAGCTCATGAAGAGTTGGGTCACTCGTCTTCTCCAATTCACTTTGTTTTGCTTGTACGCTTCCATTCTCCTCTTTGTTAGCATAAATGATTGCGTGAAATAAATTCATCTGCGAAACTGTATTTGGCTTCTTATTACTGCCGTCGCACAACACGGGGTTAGCCTAAGTATTAATATACAGAAGTGGAAAGGAAGAAATTATTTCAATACACAATCGATCATTCGTCCACATTGAAGTCGAGTAGTGAGCCGCTAATAACTGAATGTGTGACAAATGATGCATAATTTTATCATTCCTTCACTTACATTTCAGTTGAACACTCATAGTTTAAACATTCTGCACATAGACTACTCATTTGTCAATATATAATAATAGTAATCAAAACATTTTCTCACAAATACATAACTAATTGAAATTGCTGGACTGAAAAATATCCATAGTTGATAACGAATGGTCCAAGCTATTGTCAAACAATTTGAACTCCGCTTCAATTGAATATTTGAATTGAATGAGTAAAATAATCTTTAGTTTTACACTATTCTAAGTGTGTATTTGTCCTGGAAACGATAGGCACATTGACTCCTCATTGTTGTGAGCAGCCTAATATTCTTATCTATCATCCTACAAGCTGATAACAAACTGAGAAGACAAACACCGAAAATCAGAGAATAATAACAATAATAATATAAATCAGAGTGAACAATGAAAGATCTTGTCAGAAATCAAGTGATGAGTTTGATAACAAAGAATGAAGTAATACTGAATTTACGGAGTGAATGCAGGTGACATACGGTGACCGATTCTGAGTCATTTCAATCAAACTCCTCAATCCCTGATCGCGGTTATCTTCATGATCCTCACTCGATAGTTAACAACAAACATTGAACTTCGAGGTGAGGCTTAGTTGGACATTCACGATACATGATCTGATCACTATACTACCTCATTAACATGTAGGTCATCCTTCAGTGGTATCTGACGTCTAACCTCCAAGGTGCTCACCATATCGTACCATGCTGCTGAAGTAACAAACACAATTGTTCAACCTACTATTCTGTGTTTCACTTTTATAGATTGTATTTCACACCCACTAAATAAAACAGAGAATACAGATTTTTCGTACACTCATTCTTCAGTTTGATGACGGAAATCTTGCCCACGCTCTAAGCAACACAAATTAGGAGGACCCAAGTGATTCCTCTAAATGAGTACATATATTTTGTCAAACATCATGGTTGACATGGATTCTAAGGTTAAAGAAAAAGTCAATGAAGCACTAGTACTTTCTGAGTAGTTTATCTAGTATGATATAACAGACTTGATTTTCAGCTACAATTTATGTATGGAGGTCGATTTCACGACCCGGAGAGATAAGAGAATGAAACTACTAATGATTACTGCAGACTGTCGACGTCCAGCAAGTCCAAAACATGACACTACAATAGTAGTAGTGACTGAAGGGTGAACTAAAAACAATCTGTAATAATCATTCTGTTGAGTCAGGCGGGCAACATTGCAACAAGAGGAGTAAATATCACTCTGGGACTTCCAAACATCTGCGTAGACGTTGATGTTGTATTATGGTGCGCGGTATTTTTTTGGAAGAAGTGCACGTTCAACAATCAAAGTTGCAGCGTATGCAACAAGTTGTGTCACTAACAATTTTGTCGAACTAGAGGCTTGCGATCAAAACGAACAGTGGATTTTCATCAACATCAAAACAAAAGCAGAAATAGTATACATTCTAATTTGGCATTACTTGGAGTTAATAACAGAAGTCATGTGGAATGATTAGTTGTTGATGTTGATGTTTTACTACCACTAGATGGATATCACGTTGATTTGTAAAAAGAACCGAGAACTAATGGCTTGTCTACAAGCAGTGCAAACCAAAAACACACAGTTCGGAATGTATCCCTGATATATCAGAGCTTCTCTGGATAGTAGAATACTCTAAGGAGTTCAGGATTAGCTATTTCACTGGAAATCACTATTCAATGAGCAGACACGACTTAGATAAAGCCGATGTAGAACTGAAGCGTGTAGGTTCTGGCTATACAGACGTTAAATCGTACGACAAAAAAGCTTATGTCAGTGAATACAACGTAGAAATGGCGAAAAGAAAGTCAAACTTCCTCCAATAAACTCAGTGAATTCTTATCCTCAGAAATGCTAACGAATCATAATAAGATGGAATCGGATTGAGTTTGTACTGCAAATGCGTCCATTGATCATATTGGCCAATGTTAACGGTATTGGTCTTCCGGAGAGTTAGGAAAAACGCACCATTCTATTATCGAGATCTCCAAATGCGTCAGAATGAGCAAACTGCGACAAAAAGGTGATGTCTGCGTCTCACTGATTTTCAGTCTATAAGCATGTTATAATTCAGTGAACAGACAAAGCATTCGAACTGGTCTTTGATGAGCCAATGAGCAGATACATGATTCTGAGTTTCATCGACATTGAAAAACTCTGATTTATGATGATTCAACACTGTGTTAATTGTTGATAGTAGGTTCACTTCGTAATTCGATTGTAACCATTTACATTGGAGAAAATGAATGGAATTCCACAGTGTATTGATTTCATTCTGCTTCATTTTATCAAACTACGTTGCAGAATCTTATTACAAGCATATATAAGTGTAGTTGTAAACAGCTGAAGAAAAATACGGAACATCATGAGTTCAGATTATTCTGTCACAATCGTTGATCTGACTTTATTCCAAACATCTTTATTCTTCTTATCCTTAGCAAGCAGAATAATAAGTCCTAGTTGTTCATCATAAATGAACTGAACTAAATCACTTATAGTTTATATGTAAAATCCAAATTATGCTCCATCTTCTCATTTCACTCAATCCACGTGACCTCATTGATTCATCCTATCACGACAAAGGCATTTTGAGTTTAAATTGTATTATTGATTTTATTGATGTCGCTAAACTGGAAAAGGTATAATTTGTAGAAAATAAAACAACACTGTCATTTCACAGTTATGAGTCGTGCAGTGAGGAAGATGCGGGAGCAGTTTAGAGCTGGAAAGCGTTCACTTTCGAATAAACGTCATGCTTATCGACGGCATTATCCCAGTAAACGCATTCAAGGCGTACGCATTGGTCACGCCAATCCCAAGTTGATTCGTGACGAAGTGAACTTTCTGTGTAATCGCACTGTCGAATTTATGGAGTCTGGTGAAACGTGTAACTTGAGCGTTATGGAATTAGCCAGACAAAGTATCTATTTCGAACGTGTTCTAAAATATCACAGTGGAAAGCGGAATATACAACTACCGGAATTTCTAAAGGCTGGCTTCCCTTCAATTGTAGAATTCATACGTGCAGGTGCTACAGAAATTAATTCCGACAATGTTTATAGTATATTCATTGCAGCGGATTTTCTCCTCATACCCAGATTGAAAGAACAATGTGCAAATCTACTGAAACAGATTGCGACCACCGACTTTTCTACTGCAATCGATATATGGTCAAATTGTAAATCATTCTACTGGCCTGAACTAGGCAACATGGCGTATCAAGTGATTTTAGACAATTTCGAAAACATATGGCACACATCGGAATTCGAAGAACTGAGTGCGAACGACATTCGTCAGATTCTACACGAAGACACTTTGAATTGTAAAAATGAATTGAATGTGTTCCACGCTATTGTTCAGTGGATTAGTAGGGATTTCGAAACACGGATTCAATATATACTAGAATTGTTGTTGTGCATCCGAATTGGATTGTTGTCAAACGTCGATGTGGATGATATGAAGAAGCACGAGTTGATTCGAGTTATTCCAGAATATTCGGATCTATTGAATGAGTGGCCGAAATGTTTAACAACCACTAATAATCGTATTATCAATGCATATGGACAGCGGTTTGTTACTCCGAGACTGCCACATTTGAACCTCCAACAAAACCACACGATTGATGGGTGTTGTCCTGTTTGAGTGTCATCACGACTGATTGATTCTGTCATCAATATCATCATCATTCGATTGTCGTTTGAGGAGAACCACCGCCGGTGTGACTACTTCTTATATGGAGACGGTGCAAGGATCACTCACCTTTCTAGTGTACATCGATTGACAAACACAATAAAAATTCGTCGAATCACAAAACGAAATTGGAAAATAATTTCGAAATTTCGCATCCAATGAAGATGACAAAGAACAAAAGTGAGAGCGCCATCACCAATGAGAACTATCCTGGGCGTTGTCACTCAGTCACTCAACCACTCTGCAGCCGAGTGTGATTTGTATTTCCATCTGATGAAGCATTATGGGGATTCCTAATTACAAAATATAGTAAATGTGTGTTCGCAAAGTGGGTTGTTGAATTATTATGATTATCATTGTTAAATATAACTCGGTTCAATTCAACAAGTCTGAATGTTAATCTTACTGTAAAAATCATATGAAAAGTGGTGTTTTTCTGATTGGCGTTTCATTGATTTTGAGAGTCGAATAGATCGTTATCATCAATTCGTCTTTCGTTTTTCTCTTTGCTGCAATTTTCTATCTTGAAGGTTCGGTTTTTGTTGCTGCGTTATATTCGGTGTCAGTCTGACTAATTAAATGGGTGTGTTGAAGTCGAAAAGGCGCTCACCATTTTCGTTGCTGGTGGTCACTAAAATCGATAGAACTAATAGAGTTTCGATGAAGTAAATTTCCCCTTTAGTCTTCGTATTTCATACTTGGTTGATCCTCGTTTGTGTGAAGGCCGAAATAAGAAGCTGAATGACAATTCGGTTAAATAATTTTACTTTAAGGAACCGATTTTGCGGAGAGATTTGAGACAAGCAAAGTGATGTGAAGTATAGATGGTGAGCAATCCAATTGCATTCAGTGATGCTTGTTCAAGCATTTATACTCAGACAATAATAAGCCAAACATATGGTAAGCAAGGAGTGCACACACATACTCAAATACATACGACCAGGATAAAAGCGAATAGTTGACAAGGTCAAAAGACGAGTGAATAGTAACTCGGGGAGATTGGGTCAGTTATTATGTCAGTCAGTCCGTTAGCTTCAATGTCGAACTTCGTAAGTGCGTACATAATAATACCACATTAGTACAGAGACTCGATCATTGATTCATTTCTCATAGTAGCAGAAGTAATAGAAGTATTACCGGTAATGCAGAAGATTAGGATTCGAAGAAGTATGATTCAGTGAAATCAATTGAGAAAGAGAAAGATAGTGTTGATGTGGAATTCAGAATAAAAGGATCTGCGGGATAGCAAATAGTGGAATTACGTACGCCACTGCAAGCGATTTTGAGCCATATCATTCAGGTTCTCTAACTATCAATAAATATCATCATGCTGACCCCAACCGGGCAGTCTGCATCTACAAACATGACACAGTCCACTTGTCACTGAATTCATGGATTTCTGTCATGATTTGGTATGCCCGACCTTAGCTTTCTTCCAACCTACTACAACACCACAAAACATAGCTCGTCGAGGTGGTCGGTGGTCAGGCATACGCAACACACGTCCCAACTGCCTTAACTGATGAAGTTTCGATACTTCATGTATTGGTCTGCCATCCCTACCTAATACTCGTCCCCTGACGGCAGCATTGCCTACTCGATTGTCCCAGGATACACGAGCAATTGTTCGGAGGTACCTATGGTCGAAAACAAGCTACCTACGATTATATTCTACTCTGACTGTCCATGATTCGCATCCATGTAATAGGACGGAGCTAACTACTGCGCAGTAGATCCGTCCTTAGGCTAGCGAACGGATAAGTGACATTATAAGTGTCGCAAGTTCGCAAAAGACAGTCGAGTCTTCTGTATCCGTGCTGAGATTTCGATAGCCATTTGGCCATCGACATCGATGAGGCTCCCAATTTAAGTGAAGCGGTTAACACATTCAACTACTCCACTCCTTATCACAAGTGCTGATCTTGAAGCGACATTTTACATTTCCAGATGAAAAGCCGCATCCTGATCAGGCTTGGCTAGTTGCACAGTGTAGTCAGAAGACTCTGCATTTTGTCAGCGTCTTCACCAAGTAGAACTATGTTATCGGCATATTCTAAGTCAGCAAGCGATTTTCCTGGTTAAACGTCTACTCCTGAAAATTCAGAGGAAGATCATGTTAAATGTAGAAGTACGTCTATGACAAAATTAAGCAAGCATGAAGAAAGTGGACAGCCCTGACGGACATCAGCTTAGGTAATGAATTCCGATGACAGTTGATCGTAAGCTCTTACTCGACCAGTGGTGTTCGAGTAGACAGCTTGGATAGGTTTAGTGGGCTGGTATGGATTCATAACCTCGACTACACAGAAGATGCAAACATCCTTCCTTAGGACCTCTATGGCGGCGTCGGTTTAGAAATAGCCTAATACTCCTCTCTACTGCCTCTCGTTTGTAAAATATAGTCCAATTATGAACCACAACGTAACTGTCCGTCTCAAAAACAAAGCGTATACACTACCAACGGCAAAACACAAAGAATCATTGCGTTGTAATTTCTTTGTAACACGACACAGTCTGTTGTGGAGATTACCAGATATTATACGTATCTGTGACACAATCACCAGGTTCAAAAAACTAGTAATTCTGTTGTTAGACTCTAGAGATATCTATCAACTATTCCTGGGATTCACACCAAGTCCCGAGGCATTTTTTTATGTTACACCAAATATTAAGATTAACATTATAAACTAATAACAGACCATGAATACATTGCACCCGCGTTACCAGCCATACAGGTATCACAAAATGATAGATGAACCCCTCAACTCCTACTAACAGTAGTACGTCACCCCTCTGATGTGCCAACCACAACATTCGGAGTTTTCTTAAAATTTAAATTCAAATCATTTTCTTCTTATCTTTCACAGCCCTTTCAGTTTTTATTTGTAGTAAACAGATAAATTGAAAAGCCTGTAGATGCTGCTCAACTATTATCAGTTACAAGGAACTGAAACTACCTGTATTACTGTGAGTTCATTCTTTTTATTTGCATAATAAATTAAAATCCAAACACCTTGCTTTCTTACCTATTTATCGCCTTACTCGTTAATTTTGACACTATTTTTCTTTTTTTCTTTCTCCAGCTGCCTACCCTGCCTATCTCCAAACTACACATTAACTTACACATCTTGCATTTTATACCATTAGTTTACTTAAAATCAGTGTGATATGCTACGTGCATATTTTGTCTTACATAAAGATGACAAAGTTGTCTGGTTTGCTTGTAACATGTAGCTGGTAGAGAAAGTGTATTCCGACAGGGTGTACAAAAAATAGAGCGTAGACTGACAAACATGGTTTAAAATCTACCACTAACATCACAAAAAGAGGGATGGTGGTGTATCTGACCAGCATTCATGACGGTCGGGCGATAACCTCAATGTACCCACGTCTGTGAGGCAGAACATTTCGTTAGCTTACGGGTCCACATGATTAAGCAGGATGTAACTAATCCATGATATTGATGTTACTTTTCCTTGTTAACCCCATCTACGACTCATGTTCGTTACCTTGCTTTGGTTTCACTTCCTACCAAGAAGTCCTATCGCAAGCTGATCTAGAAAATTAAATTTTGAAATACCTCACTCGTGACTACAGCAGTAACAAGAAAAAGAAAATATCATCAAAGCATCAGATAACTATGCTCTATTATTATATTCAGTATTGTTTCTGACATTTGAGTTCGTCTGAATTTCCTCTTTTCAAATGATTAATTGCCCATTCGTTATCTAGTAGTGACTTTTCTTCGTTAACTCACACTAGAGCAGGTATACAGTTAGTATTTTAATAGAGAAAAAAATCTGAATAATCACAGCTGTGTTTTATCCAAAAATATTATCAGCGGAGTCATGACTTAGTTATGAACAAGAATGTTTCCTGTTTTTCTCTTCGCTCCTTTCTCCTTTTCAGCACCTTATTCTGATCCTTAAATATTAGTCTGGATAAATGCCTAAGACTTGGTTACGTCAACCAGTAATCTGCAAATTCATTATCTGACGAATATCAAAAAGATCTTTGCACATTCACCTCATCAATTTTCGTTATATGTGGACCTGGATTTACCTTGCATTGATTTTCAGTCATAAGTGGTTCGTAGTAACGTTACCGTCGTAACTCGCGCCAAACATCACATTTCACATCATCTATAATTTTATGTAGAAAATGTTAGTGATCTATATGAAGCCGATGAATCTTATGAAAAATTTCAGTAAGGGAATAACCTTTTGCAGAAAATATGTTAGTATTTTGTAATTCTGATCTCACCTGTAAATTCGCATGTCTGTTGTAACATGTTGTTATTCGAAAATGAATCATAATTATTCTCCGGTACACCTTTAAATGACAAACACCGTTTCTGACTCTCACGATCCACAGAGTCGAATGCTGCATTTGGGTCGAAAAATACTACAATTGTGGAACATCCGAACTTTTGTCTTTGTTCTAGGACCTGAAATCTTACAAACATATGCGCTCACAGTAGAGCATAGTCTGAGTCTAAATATGTGCTCCAGATTGAGCTTCCGTCTTCAACTGAAACCCTACACTTATATCTCATTATCATGTGATTAATTTAAATCCAGCCTTGAGACGAATTTAGGGGTCACCAGATGGGAAGATGTGTTTCTTTCAGGTTCAAGTTTATGTTTTCTAGAAACAAACAGTTATCTGTGCATAGCTGAGTCAGATGGTCGCCATTATCTTTCCTATCGGCCTCGACAACGTAAGATGAACCCAGGTGTCTTTCATTTACACTGTGTCAACCTACTGAGCTCTGAAGTCACCATTTATTGTTGCAACATCAGAGCGACTAATATTTTGAAGGAGGTCCAAAAGCTTCCTATAAAACTCATCTTTCACTTCTTCTGAACGGCAGTCAGTGGGAGCGGAAGCAGACATAACAAACATGCAACGGCGAGTGTCCCTATATTTGCGAGACTTTACTGTCTTGTTAAGTCAGACAGCGCATGAGCGACTATAAGCTGAGACCTATTGTAAGATAGTTTGTTCTGCCCTCGGACAATACTATACCTACTCCAGCTGTAAGGTTCAAAGTGGAGTC